CGTGTGTGTGTGTGTGAGAGTGTGTGTGTGTGTGTGTGTGTGTGAGAGAGATGGCTAGTACACCCAGGACACCGGCACCCACTGCGCAGTGCTAGACACCAGATCGATGGCCTCCTCCAGCAGGCGGATAGTGTCGTCGATCTCGTTATTGATGATCGTCTGGTCGAAGTAATGCGTGTAAGAGTGCTGCAGCGCCTCCGACTCCTTCTGCAGCCGCTGGAGAGACTCGTCCTGATGAGAACAGACACACAACATCAGCGAGATCACGCTTCCGTCACGCGGCTAACGAGAAAACACGCCATCTACCGCAAACGAGTCGCTCCAGCACAGCAGCTCCATGTGTGTTCAGTCACATTCATTACAAACAGTGCAGGTTCTGCACTATACCATTATTATTAATATTTTTAATCAGTTTTTATTTTTATATTTTCTGTTTTCATTTTAATTTTGGTTAAAGTTAGTCATTTTCTTGTGCGTTTTTGTCATTTGTAGTAGTTTATTTTGTCTATATAGTATTTATCAATCTTTTAGTTTTTGTTATTGTAGTAGATCAATGTAAACTAAATTAAAATGAGAAATGTTGCCTTGGCAACTAGCTGAAATAAATAGTTTTTTTTATATTTAATGTTATTTCAAGTGACAAAAATGTTTTTTATTGGTTTTAATTTTAGTTAAAGTTTTAGTTTACTATATTAATCCTAAAATGCATAGACAGAAATTACATCAAGTATGACTAAAAATCTTTGAATTTTATCCAAACACGAAACACTTGACTTGTGTGCATGCATTTTGATGCAACAATCACAAATTTAAATACAGCGCATGCGGAAAGTATTCACAGCGCTTCACTTCTTCCATATTTTGTTATGTTGCAGCCTTATTCCAAAATGGATTAAATGCATTATTTTCCTCAAAATTCTACAAACAATACCCCATAATGACAACGTGAAAAACACGAGGAATAAGGCTGTAACATAACAAAATGTGGAAGAAGTGAAGCGCTGTGAATACTGTACGATATCGTCCGCTGGTGTGGATGCTAATATAGTATTTGTTCTTGGTGTGAACAGGCCTTGAAGCTCAAAAACGGACACGATTAATATGTATTGGGGGCCGTTCACACAACACGTTTTTCCCATTTCACTGCACTACTTTTCCTCAGTTTTCTCAGCAGAGTCTTTTGCAGCGTCTTCTAAAAATACGGTGCTCAAGTTAAAAGAACTTTTAAAAACCGTGCCTCTAGACCTGCATTTCCTCGCCTGGATCTTGTGTTTTTGAAAGCGAACGGCCGCTTGTGACTGACGGCGGAGCGGCTGTCCTCGAGCGACTGCACTGGCTCACGTCTTTACTTACAGGCAGTTTTCTGCACCATCTAGGGAGCTGCGAGCAGCGCAGAGACGCAAGAAGAAAACAATCAACACACAGAAACATGCATGCAGCATGCAATGAAACGTGACGGCCGGGATGTCCTGTGACGAGCCAGCGGCGCTCACCTCGTTCATCGCAGGAGTGATAGTCGGTGCTGCGATGAAGATGACATACGGTGCAAACTCAGCTGTCCGCAGAACCTTCAGCGCCTGAGAACACACAACGAGAGCGCGTCAGAGAGAGACAGACAGAGAGAGACAGACAGAAATCAATGTATTCAAACAACAAATGTGCAATCTGAATTGGCAACAAACATACAGAATTCTTCACCCAGAAAAGAACCATTTCAATACCATTTTGGTGTAAAATCTTTGATAGTGTGATTCAGCCCATAGCGCTGTCTGGAAGTGAGGTTTGGGGTCCACTCAGTGATCAGAGCTACACTAGATGGGACAGACATCCAACAGAAGCCCTACACACAGAACTCTGCTAAATGATTCTAAAACTACAAAGAAAAACACCCAATAATGCATGCAGGGCAGAATTAGGCCGATTATCAATATGCATAAAAGATCTCTCAAATTCTGGATGCATCTTAAATCAAGTCCCACAGATTCGCTACATTTTAAAGCGCTACAAACCCAAGAACTGAACCCCGAAAAGAGTCCACTCAGTCAGCTAGTTCTGAGACTTACTAACCTGACTAACTCTACTAACACTATCCAGTCTCAAACCAGCACTGCTTCTCATCCAAACATCAAAATAAATCAAATTATCAAACAATCTAAAAATACATAGTCATGTCCTCATCTCATATATAAAACATTTACATTTATGCATTTAACAGACGCTTTTATCCAAGGTGAGTAAGGGCAAAACACAAAAGATGCAGTACTTTCAGTGACCTGTAGCAGGCAGTATCACATCTTTTTTAGCAGAAATAAACTGCTGCAGAAAAAGCTATGTCCATGCAAAATGTAATGTGTAACTGCAACACTCATTTCAAATGTAGTGGAGTAAAGGTTGCTAATATCTTTGATACTCAGTACAACTACAAAGTATCCAAAAAGATACTCAAGTACAGTAATAGCAATGACAGCAATTACACTTACTCCAGTACTTTACACCTCTGAACCACAACCCCAACATTCATAAAGAAATTGACAAAAATCTAAAGTATAATTATGATGAAAAATTAAAAAAAACTAATTTGACCTCCAAACCTAACTCCAGTGTTATTCGGCCCTAAACACAACCAGCAAATTACTTATCAATTAAACAATTAAAAGAAAGACAACTTTTCAAAATATCCACGACCACCATGCCCTGCTCGTGGATCTGGCGGATGGTCTCGAGGCGCGTGCCGTACATGGCGTCCTCGTGGCTGCCGTACTCCAGATAATCGTTGTTGGAGATGTCCAGCATCATCTGGTCATGTGACATGAAGAAGTAGTTCTTGCCGTTCTCCTCGTCCTTCTTCGGAGGTCTGGTGGTGTCTGTCAGGAGAGAGAGAGAGAGAGAGAGAGAGAGAGAGTGAGTGTGTGTGTG